TCCTCTGATGCTGCCTGGCCTGCTGTGTTCCTCCAGCTCCACACTGTGTTATCTCTGACTCCAGCATCGGCAGTTCTTACTATCTCTAGGTGATTGTGGAAGTTTATTTTTTTAATATACATGTACAGTAGCTTATTAGGACATTAGATGCACTGTGAAAAATTCCTGTGAAAAGCAAATCCATATAAACTCCCTTAAGAAACAAGATGAATACTTGAAATGGAAAAAGAAAGGAATTTGGAAAAGGATGTGGAAATGAGACCAAGTAGAGAAATGTTAGACACAGTTATCACTGGTTATGATGAGTTAAAGGTCTCCCCTGAGCTGTAAAATTACATGTATAGCCAGTTATTTGTTGAATCATGTACTGCATATTTGCATGTGGACTATAGCATTCCATATTTCTGAGGAAGCCAGAGCTTTATACAAGAAGTCTTTATACATTCATTCACACACTTCAAACCATGGCCTGTCAGAATCATAGAGCTCCATCTAGATATTGAGCAACGTATCAAGATATGCAATTGTTTTTAAAAGTGCAGTTTAAGCTCTAACTGGGGTTAATGTGACATTGCCAGCATTAAGTCACCTATTTAATAAGTGTCATTAGGATTGGTATTGAGCTACTCAGTAATACTTGTACAGACTGAATGCATGCTGTCACTGTTATCATTTAAATGTAAAAAGAATCCTACATTAAGCCTCTAAAAATCCAGATGTCCAGTGCAATTTCTACACTACCTGGATATGGCACTCTTCCATATGTTACAATCTCTGTTAAAAGTATTCCAAAGGACCAGACGTCAGACTTAATTGTAAACGTGCCATAATTAATAGCCTCTGGTGCTGTCCATTTGATTGGGAATTTGGCACCTATGACAAAAAGAAAATAAAAAAATGTAAAAATTATTTTTCTTGCCACAAAGTTTCACCTTTACTTTCCTGAAGCTTTTGACTTATTAGTTCCACATCATGCTCAGGACTCAGGAGCAAGTGTTGGTAACTATTGAACCAGCTGTTCCAAAGTTTGTCCTTTAAGTGAAAGTAACTGGATATCAAACAAGTTTGAGAAAATATCCCCTCCATAATGTGTACATTGCATCTACAAATCTAGGAATATTAATAAGCATAAGCCAGAGACACTGGGATGTTCCTGGTCTGAATGGCTCAGTTAGACACCAGAAAATAAATTGGCCCACTGAAGCACAAGGAGTTTTTGTATTTAATAAAAATAAATAGCAACCATCCTCTCATTGAAAAATGTTTTTCATTTTATTAGAAGGAAACATCAACTAGACAGTGTGTGGGCATCTGATAAGCTGAAACACTTGAAGTGCTGTTTTTCTTCCAAAATTTCCTAGTACAGGTAAGATCTTGAGTAGGATTAATATAGACACAGTTACATAAACTTCAGCTTAAACTCTAAACAATCCATCATCCATACAAAATTCTTTGATATATCAATAGCCCAGAGCAGCAGTGAAAAATGACAATGGGGAAGTAGAGTTAACAAGAAGTAAAGTTACTGAGGAAAATAGAATAATAGGGATTTCAGAAATGGGGAAAACAGAAGGGATGCCAAGTATATCATGAGCGTTCTATTCATTCAAAGGCCTAGGAACATATATCCCATTGAAAATGTGAATCCAAAACAAAGCCTTACCTTCTCGCGCTGTGTATTCATTATCTATAAGCCTTGCAAGACCAAAGTCTGCAATTTTACAGATCAAAGTATCTGATACTAGAATATTGGCAGCTCGCAGGTCCCTGTGGATGTAATTTTTCTTTTCAATGTATGCCATCCCCTCTGCAATCTGAAAAATTGACATTTCAGTATTTAAAAATTGATAATGAATGAAATATCAATTCTTAAAATCACTTGTTCTCAATGCTTTTCTTGATGTACTGCCAGACTTAGGATAATCTCCTTTCAATCTCACATGCTGTCATACCCATCCAAATCCCTTCACTGCAAACCAAATATACCAGTGAATTAAACCATCCAATTCACACTCTGGTTCTGTAAAATCCAATCCACCATGTTGACCAAACTAAATGGAACACAAAGCCTCCCCACACCCACAAACCTGGTCGAAGCTTACTTCTACAGCATGTGTATGAATTCAGGGTAAATATAACAAAGGTAGTTTTCCACAAACAATTTTAGATGAATTTCTCAAGTCTTCAATAATATAAAAATGATACGTACTTCAGAAAATTATAATGTACTCAAACTCCTGTTACTTGGATCACTTCTTTCCAAATATAGTGCTGTGCAGACTTATTCAATGTCATGATACTTCTTGCTCTAAATCACAAGGAATCTTGCTCAGCTTCTTCAACAAGATTTTTGTGTGCCATGACTTGACTTACCTACTGTTTACAGCTGTCACTATGCCTCAGCATTCCAGCACAATATTATAACCATATTTTCTGATGAATCTCAATGTATTGTACCATTCCAAGTGTACCAAAATTCCCTTCCGAACAGCTCTATGGGGGTGCCTTCATCACATGAACTACAGTTGTTAAGAAGGCAACTCACCTCGGTCATCTTAAGGGCAATGAGGGATAGTTAATAAATGCTAGCCTTGCCAGCAATGCTCACAGGTGAACATAGTCATTTTATAAATGTCAACCCACATAACAAATATCAGAAAGAGCCAGGTCCTTATATGACAGCTGTCTTGAAGTTTATTTCCAAGACTAACTATTTACATGGTTTTGACATCACAGACTAGCACACATTCTGGGCTTTGTGTTTACTGATCTTACTATGCATTATGCACACTTCATATATTGTGGTGTCATGCAATTGTTTTAAAGGTATAGGCCTGTTTGGTGTTTAATTTGTGCCAGATTAGAATACTCACATCCCACAGAAGAATAAAAAGGAACTGATGTACTATGGCCACAAAAACAGAAGTTGCTGGAAAAGCTCTCAGAACTCAGGAAGGGCCACCAGACCTGAAAGTTTAACTCTGATTTTTCTTCACAGATGCTGGCATGCTGAGCTTTTCCAGCAACTTCTGTTTTGTTCCTGATTTACAGCATCTGCAATTCTTTTGGTTTTTAAATGTACTATGGCCTTGGCCACAAGTATTTCCTCTTCACACATGATTCCCAATAAATCTGTTGCTGTACATACTGCTGGAACTTCATTCATGGCCTATTCAATTGTAGGATATTCTAAGAACTGGGACCAACACCACACCTTTCCTGCAACTTTGCAATAAGAGGATGTAAGCACAGTTATTGCATAGTTATTCCAGCATTCAGAGACCTATGAAGTTGTTTCCTATTGACTTTTCAATCCTATAGTATCATGTTTAAAAAAAAACTTTTCATCCTGTGGCACAAACGCCTGGGCTCCACTCAGCAATCCGATGGGGTATTACATTGGAAAAGCCAATGAGCTAAAGAACTATATTTTACAGAAGTGAGAAAAAAAAAGTGAATTTTAAAGAAGTCCTCCAAGGACAAGTTTGATTTGAAAAGATAAAGTAGAGTTTAAGGAGAGAGTGCCAGGCAGTGCATCTGTGGGAACTGTAGGCAATGCTGCTAACAATTAGTCGGTGACATGAACAGTGGGAGAATGCACAAGACAGACAGACAGAGTGAAAATTCCAGGAGGTGACAGAGGCAGAAATGGGCTGACAGCTGGGGAATTTATTTAAGAACATAAGGCATAGGAGCAGAAATTAGGCCATTCGGCCCATCGGGTCTGCTCCGCCATTCAATCATGGCTGATAAGTTCCTCATACCCAATCTCCTGCTTTCTCCCCGTAACCCTTGATCCCATTGATAAAATCAAGAACCTATCTATCTCAGTATTAAATGTACTCAATGACCTGGCCTCCACAGCCTTCTGTGGCAGTGAATTCCATAGATTCATCACTCTCTGGCTGAAGAAGTTTCTCCTTATCTCCCTTCTAAAAGGTCTTCCCTTTACTCTAAGGCTGTGCCCTCAGGTCCTAGACTCTCCTACCAATGGAAGCATCTTCCCAACATCCACTCTGTCCAGGCCATTCAGTATTCTGTAAGTTTCAATTAGATCCCCCCTCATCCTTCTAAATTCCATTGAAGATAGTCCCAGAGTCCTCAAACATTCCTCATATGTTAAGCTTTCCATTCCTGGGACCATTCTCATGAACCTCCTCTGAACCCGCTCCAGGGCCAGTATATCCTTCCTGAGATATGGGGCCCAAAACTGCACACAATACTCCAATTGTGGCCTGGCCAGAGCCTTATAAAGCCTCAGTAGTACATCCTTGCTTTTATATTCAAGTCCTCTCAAAATAAGTGCCAACATTGCATGTGCCTTCCTGACTACTGACTCAACCTGCAAGTTTACCTCAAGAGAATCCTGGACTAGAACTCCCAAGTCTCTTCGCACTTCAGACTTCTGAATTTTCTCCCCATTTAGAAAATAGTCCATGCTTTTATTCTTCTTACCAAAGTGCATTACCTCACACTTTCCCACGTTGTAGTCCATCTGCCACTTCTTTGCCCACTCTGCTAACCTGTCCAAATCCTTCTGCAGCATCCCCAACTCCTAATACTACCTGTCGCTCCACCTATCATTGTATTGTCTGCAAACTTAGCCAGAATGCCAACAGTTCCTTCATCTAGATCATTAATGTATAAAGTGAAAGGTTGTGATCCCAACACTGACCCTTGCGAAACACCACTTGTCACCGGCTGCCATCCTGAGAAACACCTCTTTATCCCCACACTCTGATTTCTGGCAGACAGCCAATCTTCTATCCATGCTAGCACTTTGCCTCTAACACCCTGGGCCCTTATCTTACTCAGCAGCCTCTTGTGAGGCATCTTATCAAAGGCCTTCTTGAAGTCCAGGTAGATAACATCTATTGGCTCTCCTTGGTCTACCCTGTTTGTTACTTCCTCAAAGGATTCTAGCAGATTTGTCAACCATGACCTCCCCTAGATGAAAGCATGCTGACTTTGCCCTATTTTACTATACACTTCCAAATATTCAGAAACCTCATCCTTTACAATGGACTCCAAAATCTTACCCACAACCGAGGTTAGGCTAATCGGCCTGTAATTTTCCGTCTTTTGCCTTACTCTCTTTTTAAACAGCGGTGTTCCGTTAGCAATTTTCCAGTCCTCTGGGACCCTCCTTGACTATAGCAATTCCTGAGAGATCACCACTAACGCTTCCACTATCTCTTCAGCTATCTCCTTTAGAACTCTGGGGTGTAGTCCACCTGGTCCAGGTGATTTGTCCACCTTCAGGCCAATCAATTTTACTAGCACCTGTTCCTTGGTGATGGCCACCCTACTCAGTTCGTCCCCTGACTCTATTGAATTTTTGGGATATTACTTGTGTCTTCCACCGTGAAGACTGACACGAAGTAATTATTCAGTTCCTCAGCCATTTCCTTGTTTCCCCACTACTATCTTGCCATCGTCATTTTCCAGTGGTCCAATGTCCACTTTTGCCTCTCTTTTGCCCTTTATATATCTAAAGAAACTCTTACAGTCTTCATTTATATTACTAGCTAGCTCACCATCATATTTAATCTTCTCCCTCCTTATTTCTTTTTTGTTGCCTTCTGTTGGTCTTTGTAAGCTTCCCAGTCCTCTGGTTTCCCACTGCCCTTCACCACATTATATGTTTTCTATTTTGCTTTCATGCTATCCCCGGCTTCCTTAGTCAGCCATGGTTGCCTCATCCTCCCTGTACCAGCTTCTTTTTCCTAGGGATGAATTTTTGCTGCGTCTCCTGAATTACTCCCAGAAACTCCTGCCATTGCTGTTCCACTGTCTTTCTGCTCGGCTCCTCTTCCAGTCAATTCTGCCCAGTTCTTCCCTTATACCTCTGCAGTTGCCTTTATCAGCTGTAGTACCATTACCTCTGATTCTATCTTCTCCCTCTCAAATTGCAGAGTAAATTCTATTATTTTATGATCAGTGCCCCCTAAAGGTTCCTTTACCTTAAGCTCCCTTATCAAGTCTGCCTCATATTTATGTGAATATGTTTTATTGTCTGTTGAACAAACACAGAAGTTGCTAGAAAAGCTCAGCAGGTCTGGCAGCATCTGTGAAGAAAAGATCAGAGTTAACATTTCAGGTTCTGTGACCCTTCCTCAGAAAGTCAGGCCATTTGCCAATTCATCAGTGAAAATACTTCAATCTGAATTGACCAAGGCATGGATCAGGATTTCAGAGAAAAACAGGCTAAAATGAAGGCAGGAACAGGGAGCATTACAAAAGGACAAAGTAGGCAATTTTTCTGATGGAGAAAATAAGGAATTGGAAATTCAACTTGGGCATTGAAATAGGGAACCAAGATTACAAAGAGTTTAATTCAGCCTGGAAGCTAAGATTTGTCTATCGTGTCAAGCAGAAATCCTCCTGCACTGGCATAAACAGCTTTTCCTCATGTTCAGCACATTTCAAGACCACAAAAAAACAATTTAATTGGTCAGTCATTTTATTGCTGCTTGTGACATTTTGCCATTTGAAAACTTACTGCTGTGATGCTTACATAAGGGATACTGTTTTTTAAAAAAAATCTTCGTAAAATTGTCTTAAAGCTCACTGAAGTAGTTACTGTTTTTCAACCTCTTCCAGAACATTGCTGTGACTGCTGTTATTTACAGCAAAAGGAACATTATTCCTTACTTAAATTCAAAATCCACAATAGCTTATGATAGATTGTTAAAAACTCATCCTGTGTCAAGGAGCTTTGCTGTTGCCACAGCAATCAATTTGATGAGTACAATGGTGCTCCACATTTTGGAGTGTCAACACTGAGAACTCTGGCACTCTATAAAACTTGTGC